ATTGAATTAAATATAATTGAAAATTACAATCTAATTATTTACAAGGGTATATTAGTCAATTAATATATATTTAATAAATGAAAATTACATATTTTAAGAGATCATAGATTATATTAATTTTAAAATTCCGATTTTACGAATTATAACTCTTTTAATTCGGATATTCTGACAGAATATGTTTATGCGTATATCCAATAATTAAAATATTGTTGAACCATAAAAAAAATATATTCTTGAGCCTATTTATTGATCATGACTTTAAACACCTTTTGTAGAATAAAAAATTCTCAAACCATCAATTGAAGAATAAAAAACAAAAATTACATTAATTGTTATAGAATGCGAGTAACGATTACTAAGAATTACATTTTTATAAAGAATAAAACTAAAAAAACTTTCAAATCGGGAAAAAAACATCAAAATCTAACAAAGACACTAAGGTGCAGTTTGTTTTTTCGAAAGGAAAATTCATGAAGTCTGCAGACCACCTCTACAATCCTCTGTAGCAGAGGAGGTGGAACAAACGGCTGCAGCCTATAATAAGAAGCATGTTTGTTTTTTAACATCTCTAGACTGCTGCAGTAAACTAAAATTTAAATAAACTAATTTTATAAACTGAAATAATTCTCAACATTGAAATTTAATAATTCTAGTCTTAAAACATTGAAATAATAATAATAAAAACAGGTAAAAACAAATATATAAAACTTTTTTTAAAAAAAAAACATAAAAAAATGTAAAAGAAGCTAATAGTTTTATTTTAGAAAAAAAAAACTAATTTAAAAAAAAACATTAAAAAAGAAAATAATAAAAAAATTAAGAAAGTATTGTAAACGTTGTCTACAAAGTTCGTAAAAAATTAACACGTTAAAAAAATGTAACTGAAATTGAAAATATTATTAATAAAACGGTAAAAAAAATTTAAAAAAAAAAAAATTAAAAAAATCGTGGAAATTATAAAAATAAATTGTATCACCTCCGTAAATAAAAATTTAAGAAAATCAAAGTTTTAAAAAAAAATTTAAAAAAAAAGTTATAAAAAAATTCTTAAAAAAACACTTAGAAAAAATGAAAGTTGAAGAGGTTAGAAGAGGCAAGTCAAGTGCTGCGTCACGCAGCACACGCGCAGAGGTTTTGTAGTCTGAAGTCTTCCAAAAAACAAACTGCTGCGAAAGGGAAAGTGTTGCGCGTGTGCTGCGCCGCGCAACAATAAGTGGTTTGAAGAGGTTTTTATAGAAAAACAAACAACACCTAATACATTTTATAAGAATAATGTTGCTAGGAATCACTTTCAGTTTTGATGTCCGTTCTTCAAGCATCAACTTCTATGAAAACAAATCCAATTTAGTTTAGAATCCAACAACACATTAACAAATGAAAAATAAAAAACTAAATTTTTTTAGAAAAATATCCGGACTTATGAATTGCACAATAACCAAGAATTGTAGAATATGCATAAATCAGTGATAAAATATCCATATTCCATTCCAATAGAATTGTAATTCGTGATTCCATTCCGATAAAATTGGAATTTAAGATTTAATTACCGTATGCAATGTGTTGGAAAATATCAAAGTAAAAAAATGCATAAATCAGTAAATCAATAGAAAAAAAGTAAGAATTTGTAATCACATTTCAAAACAAAACAATAGTACTTTCGAAGCAAATCAAAATGTATAGATACAAATGCAACCAAACAAAACAAAGAATATACTACTTAAAACAAATTGATTGGTATGGAATGATCAAATAAGAGAAATAGATATAAAAATTACCAAATTTCTTTGGATGGCAGTTCTAACTTTTAGTTCACCCTCTATTATGGGGTTGCTGTCAAAAGTCCTTCCTGAAATCAACCAACCGATACAATTAAATCACACCTCTCAATAAAACCCACCAAAAATAAAAACAAAGTCCTATCAAAAGGAGTAATGTGTAAATGGAGAACAAACCTATAAACAGTTCGATTTCCCCATTTATTCAACCCACACCTTCCTTCCTAATCTTTTTTACAGAAACAACAAAACCCATTTCCTGGAGTATTTTACTCGATCTTGTAGGCAACAAAAAACATCTTCCTTCATGATCTTTTTGACAGCAACATCAAAACCTATTTCTTGAAGTATTTTACTCGATGATGTAAGCAACAATAACACCTTCCTTCATGATCTTTTCTCATATATAATGATCAAGTTGCAGAACATCAGCAGGCAAATTTAAAAAAAAAAAAAAAAAAACTAAGAACAATAATTTTAAAGAAGAAGAAGAAGATGGTTGATGAAGTGATTATTAGCATTATAGATGAAGAGATTGAGCCAGTAATTGAAACGGGAAGTAAACATAACACTTGTTCGAACATCTGCTCATCGTTGTTAAGGAACCAGATTCCGGTTTTCCAGGTAATGCTAAATCCACAGTCCCCAATTTCAACAAGGGAGTTGAATGTCCTAATGAAAAAATCATAATTAACAAAGAGCTTACCAATAATTCGATCTTGAGAATTAATAGATAAACGAGGTTGGTTGCCAAGTGTCCAAACGAGTTGTATTTCATCGGAGAAGGAAAAGAGAAGGCGTCACATATGGGTTAATCTACAAAAGAGACGACGGATGACGAGAAAGAGAAGATGGGAGGGTTGATGCAGCGGACAGGTGAGCAGGTGAAGAGCAAGGATCAAGGCGCTGCTGATAAGATGAAGTAGTCATTTGGTATGGTCGGCAACTCCGATACTGCTTCTCCCTCATGCATCATCTACTTCCCAGTTCTTGACTTCAATTTCACAAGCCCAATTCTTGACTTCAATTTCACGAGCACACATAATCTTCAGCTTTGGTTTGTGATCGGGTATTTAGCTGATAGATAAATGGGAGATGGTTTGGTGCACCCATGAACCGAACCGTGGTTACGCACCTTTATATGGTTAGGTTCTGTTTCGGTTAGTGCGCACGAGTTACCCGCCCCGCGGTCACAATTTTATTACTATCTAAACTAAACTGTCCCGTGAACACCCGTAGTATACACAACATGTATTTGCGGTTATGACCTATGTTTGGACTTTATTTAGAGAAACGAATTCCTTCTTGGTTGAAACTGAACTTTATTGGGATGCGACTCTCATTTTATATATAATTTTCTTGCTCTTGGATGGGATTTCACACAAGATCCAAAAGGAAAGGACTTAGTGTAATTTTTTTGCTGATAACATTGTTTTTTTTTTTTTTTTTTTTTTTCGATTCTAGGATTGAGTTGAATGCTCGGTTAGACTCTTGGAGGTTGATATTAGAAGAAATGGTTGGTAGATAAACATTGTTAAAATAGAGTTTATTTTGTGCAAGTTCAGTGGGGAGACTGATGATGAAGAAATAGATATATGTATAGGAAAACAAGCTTTCCTCCTAAAGAATAGCTTCAAGTATTTATGATCCACAATCCATAAAAAGGGTGTGGTTCTAAATGCCACCCCATCACATAAATATGTGTTAGTTATAGTTGAGGATGGTCGTATGAGTCTTATGTGACAGGAATTTCTGGTTGAAACCGAAGGGGAAGTTTTATAGGATTATCATTAGGCCTTCCATGATGTATGGATCTATATGTTGGCCAAGAAAAAAAAGACCATGATAAGAAGATGGAAGTAGCATAAATGAGGATGTTGAGATGGTCTTGCGATATAACTTTGCTGCATAAGATACCAATGGCTCTAAGAAACAAGTTAAGAGTGATATAAATCACCGAAAAATTGAAGGAAGGCGATTAAGGAGGTACTACAAACATGTTCAAAGGAAGCCAACATCAGTAACTATAAGGAGGGGAGATTCAATGATGTTATATGGTTAGAGTAGAAGACGTCATAGAATAAAGAGGGAGGCTAATGAGAGGTATGACATGGAGGAGCTTTGCTCTTTTTTAGGGTATGGCATTAGATAAGAATATTTTGAGGCTAAGTATCAGAGTATATGAGTAGCATATCCCCAAATTTGTTTTGTTTTATGATCTTTATTATCAACATCTATCCCCTCTATCTTTTTAATACTATCCGTGCAGTTTTTTGATGTAATGTTTCACCAGTAAATTAAACATCTACCAATAGATTTTATAATGCTAGGGCCAACACTGAGGCAGTGTTGGGTGTAAAGCCGCACAAGTCCGTATGGTGAAGGTGCCGGAATTTTAATTTGTTGATAATCCTTCATTAATCCATTGCTAATCCGACATATATGTGCTAATACGCTGCTATTACGTCACTGTCTGTCATTAATATGTATCTAATCCATCGCTATATGTGCTAATTCGTTGCTAATATGTCATTATTTGTTGATAATCCGTCATTATCCATTCCTAATTCGCCGATATCCGAAATTGTAGGGACCCAAAGTTTACTCTTCGAACGGACATCTATAATCAATGGACAGGCATGTATAGTCCTTGATTAGAATGAGGTTAGCGTTAACAATTTTCCTAAGCGTGTCTTTTTGCATTTCAAAAAATAGGATAGGTATATGATTAAAATGTGAATTTGTGAAATATCATTCCAATAGTTTAATAGTGTTAGATTTATATTTTGCGTCATTAAAGGTATTGACTTTAAATATGTACCTTCGCCGCATATATAATAAAAAGGATTAATGACCACAACATGCAACAATGTCACCATGTTGCATGACTATTTTTCACTTTGTTGTACTCGTGTATATACATCATGGATGTAAGGAGAGACTAATATACTAGATATTTTGCAATATTTAATTATGTATATTCATATGTTTAATGGAAATAGAAATAGAAATAGAAATCTAATATCTAAATTTGTTTTTACCTACATCCATAATATCTAAAAAATGGACACTTACATTTGTATTGGTAAACAACCCAAAATCAAACATCTTAATTCATCCGTACTAATCATTATAATTATGGTTTAAATTTAATTACTTTACATCATCCTGAAATTAACATGAGTCTTATAATTACATGATTAACAATTACAAGTCATATATAGTCTACTGAATTATTCGTATTTTTTTATTTTAATTATATATTAAATCGTTAATGAACTAAGTCTGAAAAACCAATCAGAATCATAAATTGGGTGCGATATTTTGGTAGAGACCCATGTCCATTCCATTGTAAGCAATTGGAGCATACATCCACATATCATCAGAGCTCAACAACTGCAATAAATATCACACAGAAAAACAATGATTAGGTGTTGATTATTTATAAACATAAAATTATGTCACTATAATAACTGAAATTATATTTGTTTTATATATTAATAATCTCAATTACCTGAATTTGAAGCTTTAAGAACTTCACATATTCAACTGCTTCTTCAAGCATTGTGCTAATGTCAACCTTTGTACCATTGGGTACGAGGTTCTGAAGGATTCTTAGTCTCTCATTAATTCTTTCTCTTCTTTTCTGCAAAACCAGAAGTTCCAAAGATCATCAATTAATTGAAGTTTAAATAAATAAAAAAAAAAAACTGGATTGGTTTTTGTTCATAATTTTGCTCTTTTTCTTGCATAATTTAATGTTGTTTTTTGCATATTTCATCAAGAACCGAAGTGCTTACCCTTGCATAAAGGCTTTGGGGATCAGTTGCAGTGCCTCTACTAGCTCTTGTTTTTCCATTAATCGGGTTAATAGCTCCATTCAAGTCCTGAGATCCAGTTAGATTATCATCAGAGCTGCAAGAACTTGAACTTTGTCCATTGTTGTTGTTGCACTCTTCTGCATCATTCATCTTTTGATTCTTCTTTGGTTGCAGATTCTTCTTACTTTTCTATTAAACACACACAACAAAGGTAATATTCTATAAGATTTTCTTCTTGGGTTACATATTTTTAATGTTCTTGAAGATAAACAAATGATTCCACATTCTCACAATTACACATAAAATAATAAACTTACATTTTCTTTTGAAACTCGCGATCTCTTCTTGGGGTTCTTATTGGTTTTCTCATTGTTAACTTCATCATCATCTCGCATTTCAAGGTTCCTCTTCAGAGGGATACCCCTGTCCAGAACAAGTGAATTGTCGATTTTAACCTTCTCCACTGCCACATCTTGTGTCATGTAGAGACTTCTGCTCATTGCATCATTAGCAAAAGCGTGGGTTGGTAGTGGTGAGTTGTTGATCTCGTCCAACATATAAAAAGGGATGGATTGATCACACGCATCGTTTGATGGTGAAGGAGGAATAATAGAAGGGCAAAGCTGGAAATTTTCATGGCTTGGGTAGGGTAGAGAGACCGTGTCAGTACTAGCACCGCTGCTACAAATGCTACTTTCTTGAGAGAAAAAATGGTAGAAATTAGGGTTAACATTGTCAGAAACATAGACTAAACTCTCATCGTCGGCGATAAATGATTTAGCATTGCTAAATACATGCTCACTAGAAGGAAAATATATGGTTTCACGTTCAACGTTTGAACAATGATCATGATCATGTTCACTTGACAACAACCCTTGCCCAGAAAACCTATCATAATCTTGATCTTCTACGAACATTTTGCTCAAACTGTGCCATTCTTCATCAAAGAAATTTCCAAAAGACTCCATCTTTTTATTTCTTGTTCACTTTTGGTTATCAAAGGAGGCTTTGAAATGACTTGGGATATCGAGAAAAAAGGAACCTATTTATACCCTTTTTTCAAGAATGTTAGTGAGGTTTGACTTGATTAATTAATTACCAATCATATAGTTATGTGGATGTTCGAAACCAAGAGTCCACTGTAGGGCCAAGTTAAACAGCCAAAGTACAGCTCATATAAGTGGGATCCACTCATATGTAAACAAATAAAAAAAAATCGTTTTGAATCCTTAAAAAATATATAGCATACCACCCCTTTTATGATGAAACCCATAATTAAATTTCATATATAATGTGGTGACGATGGAAGGGTATCTTAAGTCTCTAGTCCAATCATTGGATTGTAACCAATTAACCCTGATCAATTAGTTTTAGTAGATTGTTGATTGCTCTCTGCGTTCCAAACAAATAGCATGACATGTTCAATAATAAAAATTAGAATATATAATTAACTAAAAACTAATGTATAGTGAATTGACAAGTGATTTTTATTTTGATGAAGAGAATTTCTAACTGATATTTTTTTAGGGTTTTGATATTTTCACTTAGGTTATGTTTAACGTACTAACTGAAAAGTTAGTTGTTAAATAAAATTTAGCTGATAACTGAAAAACTAGCTGATAAAAAATATCGTTTGATAAAACTAACTGAAAATTTTAAAATGACTTAAAATGACATTTAAAAGAATGTATTTTCTATAATTAAATAAGGAGTATATTTGGAAAATTAAAAAAAAAACTAGTCTAAGTAGGTTTTTAAAAAACTTATAAGTTAAAAAATTTCGAAAAATAAACTAGATATGACGCATCAAACACAACCTTAATAATTTTATCCTTCCATTTAAAAAATAAATTTATGTACCTTTTTACCACTCAATTAATATTGGTGAGATAAAAGAAAGATAGTGAGTTCAAGGATTCATACTTGAATTTAGATAAATAAATTATTCTTTTTCCACAAAAGAAATATTTGTTGCTTATTCATCACACAAACACATGCGTTTGTTATTCTGTTTTTATTTATTTATTTTCTATTTCATTTGGGTCAAGAACTCTTCAATATATCCTCGTTATTCGTCCAAGACATTTTTAATTGTCTAAGAGTTCATAAACAAGGTGTAACATACACGTTTTGAAATTGTGTTTTAAGTAAATAATATTATGAAATATTATGTGAATTTGAATGTTGAGTTCTAACAGATAGTTTTTACTATAAATGAAGTAAAACTATGTTTAACATCACTTATAAAATATTGAAAATCTTATGAGATTCCAATTAAAAGCCAAATAATGAAATATAACGAAAATATAAAACTTGAAATAAGTAAAATTTTATTATTGAAATTTGTAGATAATCTTGTTAGAAACATTTAGACGAAAACCTCATCGAAATCCAAGTTATAACGAAGAAGTTATGACCAATCGAAGATCCGCGACAAAACCGGTACGACGCCGAATGACGTAAAAAGTGAGTTTTTGATAAACTACTTTTTAGCCTTAGTAATCTAAATGAAAGTCGTAGTATTCGTTAAACCGAGAAGTTCGATAAAAAGAACGCAAAAATCTGACTTCGTATGAGGAAGTTATGATTTTTCAAAGTTTCAGCTTAGTAGTAGACAACTAAAAACTCGAATTTTAGATAGATTGATTTTTAGCCGACACAACCTAAACGAGAATTGAAGGTCTCATCATTAGTAGTACAACAGTAAAAAGTGTGACAAAAACGGACGTCGGAGGAAGAAGTTATGAATTTTTAACGGATTTTCATGTCCCGATCTGTTAAAAATAATAATATTAAAATTAATGTCAAAATTAGCAGACGAAGTCTAAACCAAAAGTTTTGGAACATAATTTTAGCTACGCGTGCATATGAAGAACGTCAAAAACGGAGCTCGTATGCGAAAGTTATGAATTTTGGAAACTTTTGGTTCAATTTCCGAGAAAATTCGCATGAATAGTGCCAGACACGTCACCTCGCATGAACAATAGCCGGTCTACCCGGATCCGATGCGTGTTGCCTTCCGATTGGACCGAAGCCGCGGCCCAACCAGCTTCCGACGCGACTCGCATCGCTGGAGCCAAGTCCGAGCCTCGCCGAAGCCGCCACCTGTTCCGAGCCTCGCAAACAGCTGCCCTTTTCCCCCTCGTGTGTCTCTCTCCCTCGCTGCCGCGTGTATTCGCACCAACTACCTCCTCGCATGCGATCCACGTGCTCTCTTCTCATTGCCTCGGATCCGAGCCTCCGGATCTCCTCCCCTATAAATAGTGGGCCTGCAAGACCTCTCGGGTAGTTTGAGAAATTTGGCACTTTCACCCCCCCTTTTTGATATTTTTACTATTCCGACTTCCCTCGAAGCCCCGATACTGATTCCAAAGCCCGAAACACGCCCCGAGACTCTCGAGAAGCCCGAAAAAATTATTTTTTCGATTTTGAAGCTCTACATTCGCAGACGCCGATTTTCAACGACGAAAGTCATATTTAGAGCCGAAGTACTGCCCAAATTAATATTTTAGCCCCCGATTATTTCACAATGAGTTTAATATATAGAAACAATTGTATGTTATGTGTTATATGTGCTATGTGCTTTTCAGTGTTATTATTTCCGGTCATTTTCCCAGGTTATTTTTATTCGCTATTTTTAATAGCAAAGAAATACCTTTGACCATGTGATCAGTGAAAGGACTTAGATTCACGTTGGTACTGGTATGTAGCTTCTGGCCATGTGGAACATGTCTCTGTAAAAGAATGGTTTCTATTCTATGGTATTGGCAGAAGGTTAGACAGGACTATAAGCCTGAAATCTACCAAAATGTCAATCCGAAGTTGTATATCTTTTGTGCCGTTTGGGCCAAAGCTTTATTGATGCATATCAAGCATGGAAATTGTTATGTCTCATTGATTGTATATCTTTAAATCAAATCAATGATTGATATGGAATGTTTGTCACATGATTCACATATGCCCTTGTTGTTCCTTGTTTCTCTTTGCTTCTGCCATATTGAAGTATATATATGGCATAACGTTATATTGTATCTATTATTGAACTCACTAAGCGTCACCGCTTACCCTCTCAATGTTTAACAAATTGCAGGAGATAAGCATCCAGTATAGTTATATACTGGTAGAAGATTTTTGAATAGTTTGAAACTATTGTATCGATAGAAGCTTATGAATAGTTTGAAACTATTTTATTTTGCATTCCCATATGTATAAAACTATAGAATCCTGGGAAGTAATGTAATATATAACACTTTAAAATAGTCGGTTTGTATCCAGTAGTTTGTAACCTCTTTATCAATGTAAAATATTGTTTTTATGAATATGCAAGTACCATGTTTTGGGGTAACTATATTGTTATGTATAAAAGTTTGGGTCTTTCATAAATACGAAAGTTAGGGTCTTTCAGTTGACATCCCATGTTGACCCAACTCATTGAGTGTAGTCCACTGACTCGTCAAGTTCCTCCAGAACTCGAGAAATCGTGAAAACCCTAGTTGACTCGCCGAGTTTCCAGACAACTCGTCGAGTCCATGCGGTCTCCAAATGTCAGGAAAGCCCTAACGAACTCGTCGAATCATCTCACTGACTCGCCAAGTCCATGCAGAAACCAAAAACAACCAATATTTATCTGACTCGTCGAGTCCTTTTAGTCCATTTCTCATTCAGACGATTTTAAGCTACCCTAAAGCTCTAAATTGTAGATCTCGCTTCATAAGGCATATTTACCACGTAAATTTGCAAACTTTACATGCATGCAAGGACTTAAAAGCCAAAACCAAGCTAAAGAAGGATTTCTAGGTAAAGAGAAGCCCATAAATTGCTAAAGAGTAGAACTTTATTGCTATAAGGACTTAGAGGAGTCCAGATATGAAGTTACAACTTCAGATCATGCCCCATACCCAAATTAACCCACAACTAACTAGAAATGGCCCTAAACCTTTACATGAAGAGATCTAGCTAGAGAGATGTAACACCATGAAATTTCAAAACAATTTTTCATTTTAAATTAATAAAATACTCCAATCACAATTCTCAAAAACATGTATCAACTATTTTTACATAACATAAGTGCGAATAAAAATCCCTAGAATCTCAAAACATTTCCACCATAAGTGTGTACTGATCATGCCGGCGCCTTCCCGCGATCATCGCTCGTACCTGAAACACATAACACGCAAACGGTAAGCAATAATTCTTAGTGAGTTCCCCAAAATACCATGTACAACACATACGCCTTTCCAGGCCATAACTCTATGGTATCTTCCAATCCAAGCGTCTCAGGGGATTTCCATCCCATAACTCTATTGACCTTCTGATTCATGCTCTGTTGACCTTCCGGTCCATATCATCATACTCATATCATAACATATTACATATACAATATACATCACATTTTCACCATACACATAAGACCTTCCGGTCACACATAATCACCCCATCGAGTAAGGTATAGTGAGAAGACTCACCTTGAATATGTCGGATAATCACTCGCGCTCAATCCACCAACCTATCTTCCTCCTATAGCATAAATACATCTCTAATTAATACCTTCCTGAATTAATTTGACTAATGCCCTTAAGTCAACACAAGTCAACTCTGGTCAATGTTGGTCAATGGCCACCCCTTTGACCCAACTCGTCGAGTCAGGCACTGACTCAGCGAGTTTAGACGTGAAATCAACTCCCCTAAATCCCCCTATGACTTACTGAGTCACTCTCCCAACTCGGCGAGTCATCAGCTGTGTGAGTCACGGGACAACCTGGTCAGACTCGTCGAGTCTGCTCATGGACTCGGCGATTTCATTCCATGCTCGAACTCAAATGGTCTTCTGAGGTCAGATCTGTTCCTCTAATCCATACATTTGACCTTCCCAAGCTCAATAAACACGTAAAGGTTCAAACTTGATACTCATGCATCGTCCAAATAACTCTGATTGAAGCATTTGCCCCAAATACAACATCCTAAGCCCATTTCTTCCATAACTCATCATAAAGAAAGATAGATAAA